TTTGTTTTGCATTTGGAAACTTTTAAAACCAACTCCAAAAATGCTGGAGAAACCTGGAAAAATACATAAAATGAGACGTGTATATGTTTATATTATTTAAAAGAATATACAATATTTTAGGGGTAATTACTTTAGATTGGGCGATGGACGTTCTGCAAAGAAACAGATTTTAGTTCAAAATCTTGTCAAAAGAGTAAGTAACATCATGAAACCTGATGAGCGCTTCAATCGTAAAGCACCTGTAAAAGCAGAATTACATGGTAAAGGATTTGAAAACATTGATAATATTATTTAGGTATAATTAGATACTCAAATCATTGTTAGCATACTAGGTGTCAAGTGTTAATTATGGATAAATTTTAATGAATGAGGAATACGAAACAAACTGTGTATAAAATGAAAAGGCACTATGAGTTTGAGAAATTTTCCTTAACGTTTTTAATGTTACAATTGACTGTGCTCCGTGGTGACAAAACAGTAGAATAGAGTGGGGCTTTTCGTGCTACTTTGAGGCGCCAACGATTTGAAGCGCTGACGATAGATCACGGAAGTGTAGTATACCAAGAGAACAAGTTCAGGAAGTCAAAATCGGATATGAATACATCAATAACACGTCTGTTTTAATCCTTTTAACAACTTAATCCGTTGATCAATATATAAATAGGAACATATGAAACTAATTTGACAACTAAAAATTTAAATAAAGGTCATGTCGATGAATGATTTAAATCACAATCTACGGGGTTATAAGAACAAATTTAATGAAATGGACCCATAAGTATTTCCCGAGAATATGTATGAAGGGTAATAAAGTCGAAGATGTGAATTAAAATGAGAAGAATCAAATTTAATGTATCTCTTAATGAATAGAAAAAAAATAATCCCGACCAAAATTGTTTTCTGGATTAATAATACACCATCGTTTATAGAAAATTATATACATGTACGAACATGAAAAAGACTGTGAGATTTAAAGGTGATGATACAATAATTGACATTCCTTACGAGGATCGTAAGGGAGAATGGATGTTAATAGCCGTGGACAGATATCGTTTTCAGAGACGGATTAATTGTTTATCACAAATCCTCGAACCAATACTTGAAAAACATTTAGTTTCATATAAACTAAGGGCGAATTTGTTGCACATAAACTGGGTTTAGTTTTGAACCAGTTTTGTAAACTGTTCATTTGTTCCACAAACTGGTTTCAAACTAGTTTAAACCCAGAACCGGTTTTCCATTTGTTTTGGCAGTAACTGAAACCAGTTCGTTAAACCAACCAAACCACCTCCGATGGTGGTTTATTCGGTTTACGAAAGAGCGGGGAGTATTCCAATATGGCGGTGATGAAAGATGGTGACTATTCTAATAAAGAAAAAAAAGTTATAAATGATTGTTTTTTTCGAGGACAAACAACTGTTTTGACTAAAATGCCACATTTTGATACAATGGTATTTGATGTTTTATATATAAAGCTGAAGAGAATAGATTAATACTGCATATTGAAAATTAATCATGTTAATGGCGTTTGTTCAACAATAATGAACAGAATATGTTAAATTTTCCTCTTCCAAAATAAGTTTTGAATCATCTGGACAAACTTCAAAATGTACAGTAAATTGTAGAACATAATGTAAAGACAGCTTATATATTCAATTGGAAATCTAAAAGAGTAATTATAAATACTCGAAAATTTGGAAATTGTTCATTTGATTAATCTTTGAGGTATCAAAAATATAAATATTGCACTTGAACTATATGTAAGATAATCAAAGAATATAAATACATTATAATTTCTTGGATTCTTTTATTAAGAGAAAGATTTTAACAAATTTATTTGCATATGTATGTTGTTCTGCATCTTTTTGCTTTTTGATGCCATCTTGTATAAACTGTTCATTTGTTTTACCGAGGTAAACCGGATTGAAATTTAAACCAGTTTGAAAAACTAGTTTTAAACCTTAAACCAAAACCTGAACCAGTTTATGTGCAACAAATTCGCCCTAAGATATTCGTGTAATGTTTAAGGATGAAACAATAATAAAACTATGTTAAAAAAAATCCGGTGTTTTATTTATTTTTTTTTTCTGTAGAATGGACCCATGTTTTCTATTAAAGATACATTAAAAATGTGTTGGATTAAAATTATTGGAAAGATGTGTATCAATACAATAAACATAAATCGGAAATGTTTAACTTTTCATGACTATGTATAGTTGTATCTTATTATTTCACATCCTTGTTAGAATAAAATCAAATGTAATTATTATAGTAAACAAATTTCCGTTTGATGTGGTGTAATTTTACTAGATGAAATCAACCAATGAAACAAATATTCGGAAATGACAATATTTCCGATTTAAACTCTGTTTGGATATAGGTACATTCATTTAGTTAAAAGAAACTGATCACGACAACATGTCTACTACCCAGTGCAGTCTACAATTAGGAAACGAGCGATACATTCAAGCATGTACATTGGAAAATGGTGAACGCAGAGTCGACATACGGGAATGGAAATCAAGGGAAAAAAACAGTTTCCAACTAAGAAAGGCATCAGTTTAAACTTGCAGCTTTTTAAAACCCTGACGCTCTCCACTGATTTGATCGACACAGCTTTAGAAAGAAGATCTGAACTATCATATCGGCGCTAACATATTCATAACGGTCAAAAGGGACAGTCCTTGTGTTTACATAAGAAAATATTGGAAACCGGAGAATGAAGAAAACCTCGTACCCACCAAGAAGGGGATTTGTCTCCGTCCTCTCGAATACTTAAATCTTAAAACACATCTGAGTAACATTGAAAAAAACGTTCCCGAACTGGAAAACATGGTACCTTGTTTTCTGCAGGACGACCATCAAAACCAACTAGGGATGCTTCGATGTGCAATGTGTAATCCCTTAGAATATCAGAACTGGTGAAAAGATTACAAACGAAATGTGTGGAGACATTTTCATTGTTAAAAAAAACTTTATAAATTGTTTATACCAATCACACCTTTTGTAACTGCTGAAGAGTCTTTTTAGAAAAGTATTCTTTTTTGCACCTTTCACATTTCAACAACTCATCCCTGTGTTCTTTAAGTAAATGGATACGTCGTTGAATCGATGTTTTGAAACATTTCTTGCAATGGGAACACGTTTTACTCTTTTCACATGTCTTCAAATGACGTTCGAAATTGTCTTTCCGATTTATTTCTATTAATTGTATGCATTCAAATAAATAATATGTATCGATCACTAAAATCTTGTTATGAATCATTGTTTGAACGAAAGGCTGTGTATCGAGCAAGTTTTTTTTTATACAAACTAGTATGATGTCTTCTACCAAGTGTCGTTTAAAATTATTAACATATTTGTACTTACAAATGTACATGTAACAAATCAAGAAATATAGTCAACAGTAAATGGTTTATGAAACGAGGATTTTTTTACCAAAGTAAATTGTAGAGAATAAGTTCATAGCAACTGTCTTTCTCTCATTCTTGTGTATACCCCCAAAACCAAAACGAGTCGATCACAAACCGATAAAACACATCAGCGGAGGGGGGGGGGGGGGGGGGGGGGGGGTGTTGACTTTGTTTTGAAGTATTAGCAGGACACTGGTGTCAACACTCGAATAATGCGATCTAAAATGATTTTATACAAATCATTTAAGTTGTTTTATTATTTTAAATCATTCAAATTAAAGAAAAATCCAGAGATGAATGTTGTGTAATACTTCATATTGCTATCACCCCCACGGACACCTGTTGATGTGACCGACCCGAGAGACCAAAATCGCCGGGGTGGTTTATAGTAAAACGGGAGGGGTGTTAAGATCGATAAACTACAGACGCAATATAATTAACCATGAACTGTTTTCAATTAAATCTATGTTACATTAATTCTTATATAGAATATACCAAAATAAACATGGTCTCAATGTATAAATTCCTAAATTATGTTAATAAAACTAAAACATAATCCTGATCCACCCTCCACCCGTATAATTATATAAGATATCAAAGTCCAAATCTGACCACCCTTTTGAGATTTAACGAACTGTGAAGATGAGGATGGAGAAGTTGTGTATTTTGATTGTAATTCCGTTGTTTGCCTTGGGGTGCGAGCACCAGTGAAGGAGTGCGATGTCGGGTGTGGGACCAGAACATGCTAAGGTTCCGAGATGTGGAGATGATGGAAATCAACTATCTTAACCATGGCGTGGACCTGAAACAGTTTCCGCGGCTGCGGAAATTTGTTGTGAGGGAGGCAATGGTGTCGTGCGAGGATATTCTAAGCGGCGAGGCGATCATCATCCTGAATGAACAGATCTGCCAGGTAAATTGTTTTATATAAATAAATGAAAAAATTTGTTAATCCCCAAAATAAAAAAAAAACAAAAGAAAAAAACTCATATATTCATTATTATTATTTTTTAAAGGAGACCCAAACTAAAGGATCCGTGACAGAACCAACGACAACCTCCCCCACACTGACCACCACTTTGACCGAAATTGCCGCCTTGTCCTTCAGTAAGTATATACTTTCAATTGTCATTATCTTTAAAAAAAATAATAATAAAGTAAAATAAAATAAATAATTTACTATTTAATTTTCACATGTAGATAAACCCTGGATTTATGCCACCGGTATTGCCTCGAGTTTACTGGTTTTGATCACCCTAGTCCTGTGCATTGTTTGTGTACGCAATTACTATAGGAAACCTCGCCGCACAATTAACATTGAACTTGACTCTGTTAGTTCAATAACTGAGTTTGACTCTTCAGTAATGAGAGAAATTAAAATTGACTAATTGTTACAGTGTTGTACGTGACATTCAAAGTGTTGAGTTTAATGATGACTGGCGAGAGACAACTCCATCAACAAAATGTTCAGCCGCCTCCTGTTGTAGATGATGCCCTACCTCCACTCCGACGATCACAGAGACAAAGACGTCGACCCAATCGACTTACATATTAAATATAGATTGTAAAATAGACTCAATTTTGGTGTAAATAGTTTATTGTACATTTTGTTGTAAACTTTAACTGAACTTCAATGGATCTTATAACAAAAGATTTTTTTCTTACATATAAAGAATAAAAAAGAGGAAAAAGTATTTGTTTCATTACGTACAAAGTGTTTAGAGTTTCCTATAAATACTCCTAGGGGCTAATTCACTTTTCAATGTGTTCAGCTCCCTCTCTAATTTGGAGACCCTTTCCTCCAGGTATTGCTCCCACGTCTGAACAGTCTGAAAAAAGTTTAATACACATAAAATTTACTAATATTAAACGTTTTGATATGTGGATAACATATGACGGCAGTGGAGAGCTGACAGTAGGTTACGGAAATGTATAATACGATTGTTAAGAAAATCAATAATATTTTATAAGAAAGAGTAGAGATTTGTTGAAAAATGACGATTTAAACTTCCGGAAAAGTAAAAGTATCCTAGAAAGACGGATATACGAAGGTGTAATAAGTTTGAAAGTAAATGAATAAATACTTCCTACAGAAATCGGTATACATTATTCTTAATTTGAAACCATGGCGTTCGCATGTTCCCGATGTGATAAAAATTTTAAATATTTAAAAGACCGAGATCGTCATATGAAAACCGTGCATCTTGGTTTATGCGAAAGAGAATGTTTATCTTGTGGGAAGAAAATTAACAGGAAAGATAATTTTGAACGTCACATACGAACATGTAAAAGTTCAACAAAGTGTCGGCACTGCGAAAAGGAATTCAAATTGTCTTCTTAATGTTGATTTCATATGCAGAATGAACACAAGGACAAATTATTTAAATGTGATAAATGCAGAAGGGAGTACTTATCCTTACAATCATTTAAACAACACAATGGAAGATGCAAGGAACAAGTGAGTATTTTAAACAAAACTTACATTATTGTGAGTTGAAGAATCTAATATAATAATTTTCCGAATCGGACTCTCTGCAGTCTGCAAAACAAATGAATAAAATAAATTTATACTGACACACACAAACTAAAAGTTTGATTCTTTTTATTGAATTGTATTTAACAAACAATATCTAATGAATGATAAAAAATGTATATACATATACTTACTTTCCCGCTTCCAAACAGAGGCAACTATCATTTTATTAAAGGGAGAAAATCTTGTCAGTATTAACAAAGCTATAGATACCAACTTTACGCCACTTTGCAACTATGAATCGAAGAAGCTGACACCCGTATGTTCCTTCATGCAAAACATGCAGAACCGGGTGGTAGCAGATCAATCTACATGGTTAGCTCGGATACAGACGTTTTTGTTATTAGTGTAACGCTTTTTGATGAATTAAATGTTGATCAGTTATGGATGACATTTTGAAAGGGCAAGGATTTGCGATTGATACCAATTTATGTTTTTAGATCACTGGAACCATATCAAAGGCATTACCGTTCTTTCATGCATTCACGGGTTGTGATACAGTGTAGGTATTTGCTTTGGAAAGGTAAAAAGACAGCAGGCAGGCCATGAATATGTTTGAGAACACCACAGAAATATTCCAATTCTGAAGCACCCCTTGTGACAATTTCAAAGAACCTCTAATCAATGCACTGAAAGAATTTGTTGTCATCATGTACGATCGGCAAAATACGCTCGCTTTGATCCCCTCCCTAAAGAGCTGCTCGTGTAGAGGATATTAGAACTGAATTCAAGATTGGTCATCTATGGGGTCAGTCACTATGCAAGTGGCTAACTTTACCCTCACCTTCCAGTTAGAATTGAATAAAAAAATGCGGGTTTTGGGTCCCACACTAGACAATCTTGCCAGCAATTGCTGCATCATGTCAAGAACAACTAAAATGTGAGTGTAATATACCTTCAACTGCTTCAGGACCGGATTACCTTGTATTGAATTATGCAGCTATACGCGGTTCAGAAGATTAAGTCAGTTATGTCATTAAAACAGCTTTTGTTTGTATTTAAGCGCATGCGCAGTGTATGTAGATATAATATGGAGCTCAAATTATAACATACACTAAGTTCCCTTTTATTATTTCAGAAAAAATAAAAGTATAACAGAGAAACGTTCAAAATATTATGAAAAAAATATGAAAACAGACGCCATTTTGAAATAAGTGGCGGCCATCTTGAAAATGGCCGAAACTTGAATGGCCAACGATATTTTTTATTCCAGTAATAGTCAAAAAACCTTCATGCAAAATTTGGTGCTTGTATCCGCAAGTGAAATATTTTCCCCACTATCCGCTCCGCTAAATAGACACTGCAAATTTTCGAATTTGCTTGCTATTCTAAATAATTTCCAAGCTGCAGAACTGTAGCTCTCTGCTTGAGAAAATTTGGATAGATAAAGCAGAGAGCTACAGATCCAAGTGTTGTAAAAACCTTCGATTTACGCCAACAATTTTTCGTCGCTACTTTAGGTATTTATTTCATGTATTTTTTACTTTCCCAATGTATAAAAATCATTTTAAATGGTATTTAATAATTAATCATACATTCAACTTCAACCCTGATCATTTACTTTACCTATCAACGCTAAAAAATGACCGTTTGTGTTTACGGACGTCGAAATGAAGCTATTCTAAATCGACATAACAAAACTATATACAGGATTGTTTAGGACCGTTAAAAGGTAAACAAAGTATCAAATACTAGATTTAAATATACGAATTATTATTGATACCATTATAAAAGCCAGAGAAAGCTTAAATTACACGAAATAAATACCTAAAGTAGCGAGAAAAAATCGTCGGCGTAAATCGAAGGTTTTTACAACGCTCGGATCTGAAGCTCTCTGCTTTATCTGTCCGAATTTTCTAAATCAGAAAGCTACAGTTCAGCAGCTAATAATTTCCATGACTGGAATGACAATATTATTGCATTCTCAAAGTTCTCATTTTAATAAATGTATAGGAAAATGTAGATATAGATATTACTTCTATATTCTTTTTTCTTTAAAGATTGGAGACATCTCAGCCTCAATTACGCGGAGGGAGGTCCAACTTCCCATGAATGGACGCTCAGCCCTACTCACCCTTTAGGGGGGAAGGCTGAGCATCCCTCCATAGTGGTTGGATCGCTATACGAAATCCACGCAGTAAAGGAAGCCAATGAATTTCGCGGACAACGAGCTTATAATTCTACACAGTCCACATATTTTAAGGTAGTTCATCCTCATTGAGCAAAAATTTGTTCTAATGAATGAACTGGGGTCAAGATCTAGTAAATAAATTTAAACAAATTTTTTGGTGCTAGATCCATTATGACGTCAAAATCATTTTCAACTTTTTCCCCCCGTATATACGACTCTAACAGAATTATGTAGAAAATATGGTACTATAGTATTTTCAAGACATTCAATTTGATTTTCATCTTGTTTACCTACAAATTATGCCCCGAAACACCTTATTTGACCAAGGCTAAGTTGTAAAGAATCAATAAAGGAATTTGTTACTCATATTTGATGTGAAAAAAACTGTTTAAAAATTAGTCGAATTTTTTATTTCTCTGCTAGGTTGTCCATCATTTATCAACAAATCAGGGGGAAAAATAATTGCGTAGCCATTTTATAGTTGAAATTTGGGAGTGTTTGAGGAGCATTTGTCTCTGATAGATTTAGCAGTAGTTTCTTTAACTTCCAATTTTCTTTTAAAGAAACATCAAACATAAATGATATTTGAAATATATTTTAATCAGTATCTGATTTCATGTAAACATTGCAGGAAATACAGGTATTGGACACACCAGAGGAAGATTTTGCGGGAACAGTTGAATCTGTGGCGTTTGAAAGGCATATTCATAGAAGCTATTGTGGTATTGATTAATTAATAAATATATAAAACAAGAGGCCCACGGGCCTTATCGGTCACCTGAGCATTATGCAACAACTCTCCAGTTACAGTGTATTGAATTTGATTCATGTTTTAAGCCAGATGCTATATGGCATTCACAATTTTGAAAGAGGCACCATTGATCATCATAACAATACACTTAACAGTTGCTTAGCTTGGTAACTGAATACCCATACGCAGGGTAGGGGAACAAAAATGCACTCCAACTAATCAGTAATATTCAGCAATAATCAGTAGTGCCCCTAACACTGTGACATAAACCCCTGACCCTAGGTCCTAACATTGCACAAATTTTTAAAAAGCACACTTAAAATTGCCTATCAAAAAAATAAATAAATGTTTTATAAATAAAAAGGAGCAGATTTCAAACAATAAATTCATTTTCAGTATATACGTAGAGCCCCCACCCCCACCCCTGACCCTGGTGCCTTAAAATACCCAAATCTGCAAGATTAGGGCACTTGCCTATCATTACTACATGTATATGTATATAGGTAGTTCATCTACTTCATACCCTGAGACAGAGAAGAACATTTTCAAAGATTTAATAAATTTTCACTATATAATCAATAGAACCCCACCCCAACAACAGAACCCTTGACCCTGGGACCATAAAATTCACAATTTTGGTAGAGGCACTCTTTCTCATCATAACTTTGCACTTAGTTTATTTAATACCAATAGGAGCAAAGAAGACGATTTTCAAGGAATTCATGTATTTTCACTATATAATCAATAGAGCCCCCCCCACCCCTAAACACCAGAACCCTTGACCCTGGGGCCATAAAATTCACAATTTTGGTAGATACACTCTTGCTCATCATATCTATGTACTTAGTTGGTTTATTTAATACCCAGGAGCAGGGAAGAAGATTTTCAAAGAAATAATGCATTTTCACTGTACACTTATTTCGCCCCGCCCTAGCACTAGAACCCCTGACCCCAGGGCCATGAATTTCACAATTTTGGTAGAGGAACTCTTTCTCATCATAATTATGCACTTAGTTAGTTTGTTTAATACCTAGGAGCAGAGAAGAAGATTTTCAAAGAATTCATGTATTTTCACTATATAATCAATAGAGCCTCCCTCCCCCAACACCAGAACCCTTGACCCTGGGGTAAAAAAATTCACAATTTTGGTAGAGGCACTCTTGCTCATCATAACTATTTACTTAGTTAGTTTATTTGATACCTAGGAGCAAAGAAGAAGATTTTCAAAGAATTCATGTAATTTTGCTATATAATCAATAGAGCCCCCCCCCCCCTAACACAAGAACCCTTGACCCTGGGGCCATAAAATTCACAATTTTGGAAGAGGCACTCTTTCTCATCATAACTATGCGCTTAGTTAGTTTATTTAATACCTAGGAGCAGAGAAGAAGATTTTCAAAGAATTCATGTATTTTCACTATATAATTAATAGAGCCCCCCAACACCAGAACCCCTGACCCAAGGGCCATGAATTTCACAGTTTTGGTAGAGGCACTCTTTCTCATCATAACTATGCACTTAGTGAGTTTATTTAATACCTAGGAGCAGAGAAGAGGATTTTAAAAGAAATAATGCATTTTCACTGTATACTTATTTAGCCCCACCCTAGCACTAGAACCCCTGACCCCAGGGCCATGAATTTTACAATTTTGGTAGAGGACTCATTGCTGATTACAATCATGCAAACAGTTTGACTGCTTGATGTCCAGGAGTAAAGAAGAAGATTTTTAAAGATTGCAATAATTTTAGTGGTTTTGGCCCCACCCCTCAGGCCCCAGGGGGGCAGGGATCATGAAATTCACAATTTTTGTTCCCCTTCACCCATAGATGCTTTGTGCCAAATTTGGTTAAAATTGGTTCAGTGGTTGCAGAGAAGAAGCTGAAAATGTTCAAATGTTAACGCACGACGGACGACGACGGACGAAAACAGATAGCAATAGGTCACCTGAGTTTACTCAGGTGACCTAACTAGCTATCTTTTTTCAATATTTTAATCAGAATTTACTCAATTATTATTTTCAACTTATAAATTATTTTACAATTTTCATAAATATTGAGAGTAGTTTTCGTGAATTATATATATTTTTTAATTTATTAAAGAGGCTTTTGTTCAGGTAATTTATTTGATATGAAGCTTGATAAATTTCATTATCATTTTTAATTTTTGCCATTTACGGATTAAATAACACATAATTAGGGTAAGTGATATTCTTTTGCAACTGTGCTTATTGATATATGTTAATGATAGTAATGGCATCGTGCAATAAG